TAATAATAATAATAATAATAATAATAATAATAATAATAATAATAATAATAATAATAATAATAATAATAATAATAATAATAAAATTAGGGAGGAAAAGAATAAGAACTATAATTAATATAAACTGATTTTATAGAAGAACTTAGATATTTAGTAAGAGTAGAACTTAATTATATATATAATAATAAGGCCTAGATTATATATATAATTAATAGTAAGAACTAATTATATAATAATAAATAAACCTAATCCTAATATCTCAGTATAAGAGTAATAATCTAAGTTTTAGAACTAGTGGAGTAATTCTTATTTTCTAGATAGTTTGATGTGTATGTAAACGATTGAATATATTATAGGGTAAGGTAAGTCCGTTCCCGGGTAACTAAGCATAGTATGTACAATAAGCAGAAATTCGTCACGGCCTTTCGGGAGGCGGTCCAGGCCGAGGTATTCGTGCTCCAGCAATGCTCCAGCACCGGGTATAACGCCAGTGATACTCGATCGCCAGGGGCTGGTTCGTACTGAGGTCTGCCTTGTCGCTCTCGGCCACCTCGACTTCTGTCTCGTCAAGCCGCCCCAGCTTCTGCAAGACCTTGTGCTGGATCACAGCAGCTATTATGTGAGTTTGTATTGTAGTTTATGGCGGAGATAGTAAGGTCTGCAAGTCCCGGTGTCGCTAGGTTCGTATACGAAAGATTTTCTGAACATTCTCCGGTATTGGAAACTAGAAGTAAAGCAATTAGTTTCCAGCAAGGATGGATGGTGTTTTACTTTTAATTTCGTAGTAGAAAAGTCGAGCTTACCAAATACAGTCTTAGACAACACCCTTGCCATAGCAGATGTATGCGTAGAAAATGCCCTGGGGCAGCAGTAAAGCTCACCGAGAGCTCTCATGCATGTTTGCAAGGCATATCGCTGCATTAATGAGAACTTGAGCAAGGCTGAAACGCCACCTTCGCAGCTGTGGTTATCGATGGCGCTCTACGAAGACTACAATAGAAATCCTGACCGTAGCAGGGTTCATATGGATGGGCTTGAATGACTGATTGCTCCTCGTGCTAGCACAGCTTACTTCCAGAGAATGCCATTCTTGCCACAAGAGGTTTTTCGGTAGGCACTATACCGCCTTTTCTGGGGCAAGATATCGGAATAGCTTATTCCTTCTAGTGCCGATATTAAGTACTCTCTTCATTCAGCTTTAAAAGCTAAGTTCCACCAGGATAAGTTTCCTTGCAAAGCTTCTTAATTGCCGGCTACCTTTGTTCTGCTAGCGCCAATCTTATTTCCTACTTAATAAGATAGCCGGCTGCCAAACGCCGACCACCATATATGTCAGGTCTTTATTTTCTGGCCCGCGGGCAGCTGCAGTAGAAAAAGTAGACCTGACGGGGGGGCCGAAATGGGCGAGCAATTAAAGCATAAGTCAGTGTGCTCTAGATTGGTATATACCACTGTGGACACGGCGGGGACAATAGTCGCAGCGGATGAATTTGGTGAGGTAGTGTAACCGTTAAGGTTAAGCTCATGTGAGGAGAAAATTGTAAGTTTTGTTCGGTTCTGAGGTAGGTTGCGAGGTGTTGGTGCTGCTGCTGCTGTTGGTGGTTGGCAGTGGTGGTGGCTTGGGTGTATGTGAGTGTACCGCGTCGGGGAATTGCAAGCAGCAATCCAAAGGTAAAATTAAGCGATTCTGGCAAGCTATTGAACAATTGTTACATTGGAGGAATCGCAACTCAAATGCAGGCGCGGCACCAGCATGTCTGGCTGAGCCATTTTGGATATATACGGGACGCGCAAGCAAGCTGGCTTGTTTGGATGGGTTCGGTCAGTAGTCAATCGAGCAACATATGATCGGATGTCAGCGTGATGATTGATCTCGAGGCGCTGAGGTTGTTAGCGCTAAGGCAGCGGATGGTCCCAAGCCTTAAAAGCATGAGCCACTGGCCGCCCACTCGCTGTTGCTGTATTCCCCTGCATGGTTGCTAGCGAGCGGGGTTTCCAAGCGTGGGGAAAGAAGGGGGAAGGGGGAGCCGGGTGTATGGAGGAAACCATTGGCACTCTGCGGCCGTCGAAGGATGGCCAAAGCTTATTGATCGAATTAGATATGGCGTCCGTACACTGGAGACGATTGTAATTTTTCTTCCCGGGCTCGGCTTGGTCGCACAGTTACAAAGTGGTGGTCTTCAGCGTGACGTCAATTCTCCATCACCATTCACGTCAACACTTGCCGAAATGGTATTTGAGCACGCGACCTTTTTGCTGCTTGACCTGGATGAAAAGCTCCCTTTTCCACTATTCTTTACCCTCTCACTGTCTGGAATGTTGCGATTTCATCCATAACATCCCTCCCTTATTTTCCGTAATTGACTACTTCCTTACATGATGTGGTCCTTCATGCAGCGTCGTCATATTGTCAGGCGGATTCAGCAAGCCGGCAATTCAAAGCCCAGCGTCCTTGAGAAGGGAAACGCCCCGACGACGCGGGACAGAGAAGGTTCTCTTCCAAGTCGCGGGACCGAGGCTGGTAGCGAAAATCACTCCGCGATGGGACATGAAGAGGCATTCATCGTACGCAGCTCGGGGGAAGACGATCCCCTCGATCCATTGAACTGGCCCTTACTGTCTAGGGCCAAAAACATTGCAATACTCTGCTTCCTTATCTTTGTGCAGGGCTGGGCCGGCGCCGCTGAATCAATGGGCAATTCTATAAACAGTCAAAGGTTCCACGTTAGCCCGACAGCAGAGAACCTGGCCACAGCAATGTATCTGTTCGGTGTGGGATCGGGTACGTTCTTCGCTGGTCCCATCTCAGAAAGCGTTGGCAGAAACCCAACGTATCTGGTGTCGACTTTCTGCTATCTTTGGTTCGTTCTCGGGTCCGCTTTAACAGATTCATTTGGTGGGCATATTGTGTGCCGTCTCTTTGTTGGTTTATGGTCTAGTGCTACCCTCAGCATCAATGGTGCGAGCGTAAGCGACCAGTTTCGTCCTGTTAAGAGGGCATTTGTCTTTCCTATTGTGGCTTGGGCGAACGTTGCAGGTGAGAGAACTAATTTCTATCGATAAGTTCCCGGTCCGTATCTTGCTAACCGTTCCGCCTCGCTTCTAGCCCCAGTCATCGGACCTATAGCAAACGGTTGGATAGTCTCTACTCCCGGCTTGGGCTGGCGCTGGACCGAGTGGGTGACCTTGATCATTTCCTCCACAGCGTTCCTCATTGCCTTTCTATTTCTTCCAGAGACCTATTTGCCTCTTTTATTAGACTGGAAAGCCCAGGAGCTTCGTCGCATCACCGGTGATACGCGATATACTTCTGAATTTTCCCAAAAGTCTTCAACTGCGGCCCGAATTCGACGGAATATTACCCTTCCAGCTATCTTCTTCCTCACTGAGCCTATTATTATTGTTCTTGGGTTTTACCTGGTTTTACTCTACATTCTGCTCTTCACATTCCTGTCAGGTTTCGACTACATCTTCAAGCAGACCTACCAGTTGACGGATGGACTCGAAGGATCATGCTTTGCCTCCATAGCCGCCGGGGTAACCGCATTTACTGTTTCAACCCCTGCTCTGTATGCTTGGGCTCGCTGGCAAACAGAATATGTCAGAGGAGCGCCTATTAAGCCTGAATTCCGACTATGGCCTGCTATAGTCACCGCTCTGCTTCTTCCCATATCCTTGTTCTGGCTGGGCTGGACCAACTACCCGAGCATATCGATTTGGAGTGGCCTCGCTGCATGCTTTATATTTGGAATAGTATTGATTGCCATCTATATCAGCAGTTATGAGTACATCACCGACAGCTACCTAGATCATGCAGCTTCTGCTCTAGCAAGTATTACTATGCTCCGATACTTTATTTCAGGGGGTATGGTTATGGCCGCACGGCCAATGTACAACGGGATCGGAGTCCATTGGACATTGACTTTGCTGGGATGTATCGCTGCTCTTCTGGCTCCCGCGCCATTTCTTTTCTGGATTTATGGTCCCAAACTACGGAAGAAGAGTTCTTATGCGATGACCGATAACGACCCCACATAGCGCCCTCTGCCTCATCCTAAGTGTCTCTCGTGCTCGACCACCAAAAAGGAATAGGGAAGCAAAAGAGAGGTATCAACAGACACAGGCCCCTGAGAGCAGCCAGCCGGGGGTTTCTGTTCATTCTACTCCGCTACCATGCAGCTTGTCAGGCTACTTGTATCTCTGTGGTGTCTGTCTTTCTGTCAACGCTTCAACAGCCATCGAGCATTTGCCTGTTGTGCCTTCAGGTCCGCTATCGCGGCTATTCCGCACTGACGAGTCAGACAGGAACTTGTTTCACCATAATCAAGAGCTTGACATTGCATAAATTTGTATTTTAGAATAAGCTGGAAAGCTGCAGATGGGAGCAATATAATACAACTGATAGCAGTCTGGATCAAAAGTATAGGAGCTCGGTAGCATTAGACGGAAGCCAAGAGAACTTCCACGCGAGTTTGACCCACAGGAGACGTCTTGTTTGACAAACAAGATAGCTCACCCTTTCTCTATTTAGCTGGCTACCCGCGTCCTTACCTGTACACTTTCCATCTGTTACCCTCCGTTGTTTGCCTTTCCTCTCTTCCTACCATCATCTCCTTCTCATAACCATCCAGCCTTGATTATTATCCTTCTATATGCTATAGCTGTTGCTATTGATATGTACTGTACCGTACTCAGGGTGGTAATAGCGGGGATAATAAGGCTGGCTGTAGTAACAGCTAGGTTCTTATATTTAAAGAATACTATTGTATATACCTGCTTCCCGGTATATTTCCTAGCTTTATTATAGGAATTAACTAGAATATTTCTACTAATTCTAACTCTGATATATTATTCTAAGCGAAGTTTTCTTAGCTTCTATTTCTTATTTTTACTGCTTTTAACTCAGAGGATATTACCTGCTATATTATTCTATTAGTATAGTAACTCAGTAACTTCTTATCTCGGTATCAGGCTATTTCAGAGCGGGCTAATTAATGGAAAGTGAAATTACAGGGTAGCTTTGCCTGGATTATAGCTGTATAAGAAGATAACTGAAATATCTACGTTGCTTATTTAAATGCTAACTAATACGAGAAGCAGTATCACCTGTCCTGAAAGTGACCTGAAGAAACACTGTTGATTGGATAAAATCAGCAAGCTGAAACAGGCTTAACGCAGTATAGATTTCGAGAGAGACAGTATAGTTTAACTTCAGCTGAATATATACAGAATATATTATTATAAGAGTAGGGTAATATTAGAATATAATAAGGGGAATCTTATACAGAGCAAGGTAAGTTCTTAGATATAGAAGAGCTATATAAGCTAATTCCCAGCTCTGAAAGTAACTTATATAGCCTGGAATTTAAGATCTCTAGTATAAGCTATATCTATCCTACTATCTAAAGAATAGAAGTAATAGAAATATTATACTCCTATTATAGGATATAGCTAGATTACTAGAAGTAGTATACTTCTTATACTCTATAATTATTATATATATATATTTATTTTATTAATTAGAATATTTCTTTAGATAGTTATTAATAATATTATCTATATATCTATTATTACTAGCTCTATAATACTTATATATTAATAGTAATTTATATTATATAGTCTATAATAATCTAATTATACTATTTAGAATAATACTCTAATTAGTTTAGTTCTAATCTCTATTTAGTATAAATTATCTAACTATTATATATTAATAACTCTTATTTAGCTAATTATTTTATTTTAATTACTATATAATATTAAAAAGATAAAATAACTTCTACTAAACTACTAAATAGTACTCTAAAAATTCTAATAATCTAGGAAATTATATAATAGTTTATAATCTAAATTAAATAATTTAAAAAGAGAGAAATAAAAGATAAAGAAAAAATAATATAATTCACTCTATTAAAATCCTTCTTAAGTAATACTAATAAACTAGAAGAATTTAAAATCTAACTTTAAATATATTTTAAATTCTTTCTAATTAGATTAATAATAAATAAAAATAAAATTAGATTTATAGAAATATATCTTAATAATACTATAGAATAATAGTTCTAGATCTATTTTAGAAACTAATATAATAATAAAACTATACTAAGTTTATAAAATTAGAAGATTATTAATATTCTTATTAACTATAAGAACTTCTAGATTATACTTATTTTAATATTTAGTTAAGTATAAGAAATAGTAAACTATTAAAAACCTTAAGAATTTATACTAGATAGAACTAGTATTAGAATATATTATTAGGTTTAGAGAAATCTTAATTTAACTAGATTAGAATAATAGCTCTCTTAAAACTATATTCTATAATAAACTTAAAGAAGAAATTAAGAATTAACTTTTAAAATAAATAAATCTAAAGATCTATCTAGATATATAGTAAATACTATATAAATTAATAACTATTTATATAAAAAGTAATAATAGAAAGGGAATAAATATACTAATTAGAACTATATTAAGAATAAATCTAACTAAGAGATATAATAAACCCTGATATTATCTATAGAATTTAGAACCTATATAGGCTTTATAGAGCTAAAAGCTATAGAGAAATATAAGTATTATAATTTTTTTTTTTTATTAGTTTTACTATAAATAAGAATATATTCTAAGATTAGATAATATATAACTAGATTATATAATTTTTCTAAGAATATAATTAGTAATCTATATCTGAATCTTTAATACTATAAGATAAGTTAAAATTAAATACTTTTAGTCTGGGTATAGGTATTAATACTCTAAAAACTCTAATAATAGGAGCTATTTATATAGCTAGATATATAAATAGTCTGGCTATAGCTATAGTTCCTAAGAGAGGAAGCTTATTATTTAATAATAATAACTATCTTTCCTTTCTAACTTAAAGTTTATTTTAATTAATTAATTAATTAATTATATTATTAATACTAAGTATCTATAATATATTATCTTCTATAATTATTCCTACTTATAGAGCTTTAGTTACTATAAATAATATAGATCTTAATAAGATAATAGAGATTATAAGAGATAATAGTATATAGCTCTTAACTGAGTATATCTAATATATATCTCTCTAAATAGTTAAGAGCTTACTTATAGTAATAAAGCTACTAATAATATCTTAGATCTAGTAGCTATATCTACTAGATCTATTCTTATATTATATAGCCTGTAGCTACTATATACTATTAGTACTTAAAGTAAATAAAATATAGTTAGATTAAAAGCTATATCTTAATTATAACTACCTACTTATTTATATATATTATAATCTGAGGTTTTCTTTATAGTTCTAGTATATTCTGTACTATTTTAAACTAATTAGAATAGAGATAGTTCTTAAGAGTTAATTAAAATTAAGCTTTTTCTATTTTAGAATAGTATAATTTAGATTAGGATATATTAAAGTTTATTTTAGTTTAATTTAGAATTATATATATTTAGAAATAAAAAAGTTAGTTACTTTTAAGATTATATATTAATTTATCTCTATAAGTATAGTATATATTTACTACTATAGGAAATTTTTATTAGAAATAATATAGATTTAATATTAATTTAATATCTATTTATATATACTTAGTTATACTATATAATAGTATTATAATTATAATAAGATTAAATATATTTTATTATAATATCCTAAGCTAAGAAAGTAGAAGAACTAGAAATCTACTAAAGAAAGTAAGAAATAATTAAGAGTAATTAGAAAAACTAAGATTAAAACTCTTAGAATAGTTAAGAAGATTACTTAGAAGAAAAACTCTATAACTACTATAGTTTCTATTTTTTCTAGAGAACTTATTCTAATCTTTTAAAAGATATTAAAACTAGATAAATAATAAAATTAAAAAATATTAAAAGAAAACTAGTAATATATTAAAAATACTTTTAATAAACTTAAATAAAAGTATAAAAATAAAGAAGTTATTTTAGAAAAATATAAACCTTCTATTAAATATAAATATATATTTTATAATAATAATAAATATATTCTAAGAATAAAAAAAGAATAAGAATAATATTTATTTATTAGAGCTAAAATTAAAACTAAGTATTATAAACTATATATTTATTACTAATATAAAATATAAGATTAGAACTTAGAATAAGATATTAAGTTAGTATTTTTTAGAAAAAATACTATAGAGACTATTTAGTAATTTAATAATAGATATAATAACTCTATTTATATAAAAACTAATAGTATTTATAATTATAAATAAGAATTATAATTAATCTATTATAATATATAGTATATAATATACTAGTAAGAAAAAATAATATATAATTTCTTTTTAATTTCTAATAGAAAAATACTAAGAAAGTATAAGATAGTTTAAATATAATAATTTACTTATTAATACTATAGAATAGAACTTTATATAGTTTTTAAAAAAGATCTAAAAGAATATCTTATTAAATATATATATAAAAAAATATTTATAGAAATATATATATAAAAAATATTTATAGAAATATATTAAGAATAGAAATATAAGATATATAAAGATAATAAAATTAGATTATAGTATAATTACTAATAAGTAGAAGAATAAATAATCTATAATTATAATAGTTATATTAAGTAATATTATAATTAGAAATATAGAAACTATTAAGAAATTAAAAAAAAGTACTAATACTAGTATAGAATAATAATAATAATATAAATATTATTAAACTATACTTTAAATAATAAAAATTATAAAAAGAAAAGCTAAAAGAATATTATTTAAATAGATAATTATTCCTAATAGATAGTAAAGAAAATAAGATTATAAAGAAAATAAAAATAATCTCTATAGATAAAAAAGAATAGAATAAAAACTATTCTAATAAGAAAATATTAATAATAATTAATAAACTATATAATTAGAAATATAAGTTTATATAATATATCTCTAATTATATAGAAGAATTAAAAACTTTTAAGAATATTCTTAAATAAATATCTAAGAATAATAAAGATTAAAAGTAATTCTAAGAATAAATTAGTTAGATAAAAAATAATCTAAACTATCTATAATAGAACT